ACACAGCTCACTTGTTGTGAATGTATTTTTCACTTTAAGGTTTAAAGTACTCAATGTCAAGCTGAAACCGTATTTAAGAATCCTAACATGGTGCTGTCAGATTACAATTTTTCACAATGGCCTTTCGATGTGTCATTTGAACATGTTGAAAGGTTTTACAAGGGATATTTGTCAGTAATAACTGATGCTAGTTTTTGCCCTTACATTACAACAAATACATCCGCCAATATGGAACTATTTTATTGATATGTGGCAACAAACATACTTCAGGCTGTACAGTTTACAAATGGGTTAATATCTATGTCATCTTGTTCCTCCTTATGTCTGGGCAGTTGCTCGCTACAATTTCGGAACTTCTTTACAGTTACAGACAGAAAATACCAGAACCGTTAACTACTACAAATCAAATACTGTATGGGTTTCACTGAAAGTGTCGCCACAACTGAAAATCGTCAAATACCTGTATTTGGCTATAACTTTGACTATTTTTTTTCTGTTCCTGCCTATTATCTATTCCTGCCTCAGGTAAGGATGCAGTGATTTATTTAAGTGCACACATATATCACAGATAAACTCCTGAAGTCTATGAAAGTTATTTGCAAGTTATACACATAAGGACTAAGGTGGAGAATGAATTAATGTCAACTTCTTTATTATGATGATCACAACATTTCGGAATATGTACTTACTCCTTCATTAGGTGAATATTCACAATTCTGCTCCAAATGCTTAGATCAATGCTCATATTGTCAACCATATCTGCCATTTTTATATCATATTCATGTGTATAATACATTTTATTTCTAATAATGGCGTAATTGGGACACACAAATATAAAGTAACCCAATACTTTCCTTAACGGGCGACAATGCTTGTCTAAAGAGTTGACTAACGCCATCAGGTGGCGATCAGGCTCGGTGACTTGGTTGATGCATGTCATTGATCCCAATTGTGTGGGTCGATGCTCATGATGTCAATCACTGGACTGTCTGGTCCAGACGCGATCATTTACATACAGCCGGAATATTGCTTGAGTGCGGCATAAAACAACAAACCAAATCATAAGTGCGGGATGAGTGATTTGAAATTAGCAAGTTTATGTGACCTTCAATCACTACAACCTGATCTGAGTCTTGAAAAGATATGACTTTGATTCAGTGAAAATTTGCATCATGATAGTTTCAACTGTAGATACAGTTAATCTGTTTTTTTGTACAGTTTCTGTTTATTCAATGTATATGTTGTTCAAATAAGCTTTGCCTCTTCACCAACCCTATTCCTCTTTTGGAATAAATAGTGTCTAATAATTCAAACACCATCACTACTAATCATCCTAGTAAACACAACAAAGAAATGCACATAAAAACCGTCATTATTATTATTTCTGATCTCTGATAAATTAGAAAAAAACTGTTATCCAGCAAGATACATTTCCTTGGTCCCAAGAAGCATGTTACATAGTAAACTGACTCGATAAGTTGAATAGCAGTCAGCGTGGTTGTGAAGGCACAACTGACTAAGCCGTCACTACTCAATTAAGTAATTAACAGACAATTGCAAGTACTAATACCCACCCGACACTAATTGCCCTGTTAATCCCTAGTCCACAATGAGTTGACATTGAGTTCATTTTGCTAATTAGCTGTTTTTAGAGTAGCAAGGTAATAAACATCAAAGGTGGGGCAGGCTTTGATCATGTGTTCTGTAGAAGAGATGATGTCACTTGTTTTATGTTTATTTAGGATTAGCTACATCCCTTGATGCTACCAAGGCAGCCCTTGAGATTATCAGACAGTTTGGCTAGACACAAACTGATGTCTCCCTTGTAGCACACTAAGTGTCAGACACAGAAGTTGACCACTCTGTGCAGATGCATATCAATGCATAAAGAACATTGGGTAGATGATACAACAATGCCACACAAGTCAAAGTTGGGTTTCACTGTATTTAGAAACAGATGATGGATCCAAAACTTTATAACAGTAATTATGATTAATTAAAACTTTGCCAGGCCAATATTTTGGCAGATTTGGATGTTATTGTTAATCTTCATTTAGTTAATTTTCCAAAGAGATAGGATAAATTATAAAATATGATAATGAGTCATGAATATTTGAATTCAGATCAGAACAAACAGGGAGGGTCACCCCAAAATGTGAGAGTCTCAAGGGGAGGCTTTTGACAAAATGGACAATAAAATATAAAGTGCTTTGCATTTTCTTTCAGGGAGGGTTGTGTCAAAAAATGAACGAGAGCATACCGGTAATACATGACAGGCCCCTTTAATGTAATATACATAGTCTTTAGTTGATGGTTCAGGTTGTACTTTTCAGTTGAATTTCTTATCACTGTCTATGATGGACTACCAATTAACGGAAGATATTAAATATCCATAATAACTTAGATAAATGCTTCTACAGTGTCATCCTAATTTGTCAAAATTTGAATTTCAATATAGCTTCCATTAATGAATTAATGAATTTGGTGAGAATATCTATTGTCTGAATTCCTAATATACTTTCTTTTGTATTTGGTGTGCAAGGGTAGCCTAGTGGGTGAAACAGTCTCTGAAACCCGGGTTCAATTCACCACATGGGTACAACGTGTGAAGCCCATAGCTGGAATATTGCTAACAAGCTGCATGAAACTAAACCAACTCACTCGCTCATTATGTTGTATTTTGAGATCACTTACATGACATGTGTTTTGATAATTATGAATAGTTGCATTTATGTATTTATGTATAAGAACCTATGTAACTTAGTTTTGCATAGTCTTGTTTACCCTTCCTTACATTTTGATGTAATGCAAACATTCAAGCAAAATTCAGGTGAACCTTGTGGTATTGTTTTAGAAGACCAGATACATTTTTGTATTTTCTGAACACTTTTCTGTTTGCAATGGCTTATTTACATGTTCAAAGATTGGTTAAATATCAGTTGCAAGATAAATTGTCAATACCTCACTGTTCGAGAAAACAACTTTAAACATTTGTAAATATGTGTGTGTTTCATAACTTTTGACTAACAAGTTTCTAAAGATGTTATGAAATGTTTCAGGTACCTGGATTTCACAATCTGACACCAGCTACATTTAAGAAGATCTTGCTCACACAATTCAGACAAGGGACTCGCCGGATGATGAACAGTACTCCTGATAACAACCAACAGATTCACCTCAGAAAGTGATGATTCTGAATGAATAATGCCACACCAGTGTTACTGTAGGTGGTTTTATTATGACACTAATGAAGTCTGAATGAATTTATGCCAAAGCACTGTGACTATGTCCAGTTTGTGTACACCGATGCTGACTATACAAATCTGAATGACTTTTGTGGTTTACTGCAGAAACATAATTGACTTTACATATTCTTCTTCAATAAAATTCTTCTGAGATTTGACTAATTTGTTTATTTAGAAAATGGCATTGAAGCGTCTGTTCTGTAAGGCCTTGCAAACACCACTGGTTACTTTATGCTAGTTCCTCTTCTTGCTTGATCAAATTTCAATTTGTGATATGTACCAATGAAATGCCATATAATCAATAAATAAGATTTTTTTTCCAAAAACCTTGATTTGTTTTGCTTCATTAGAAATAAAGAAATATAATACTGATCAGCCATAACATAGGTGCTGAACAAATATAAAATGTACTAATGCCCTGAATGTTTTCCTACTATAAATGCAGCTCACTTAACAACAGTTGTAGTTCCACCTTAGTAGACAAATGACATTGACATTTTTTCTGTACTTTATTTAGGTGTTTTCTATGGATGCCATTAGTCTTATGCACCAATTTGGGACAATTGTATTTTGTTTTATATTCCCATGAAACAACACTGTCTCGATATAAGTACTGATACCGTTCCAAACTAATCTGTTTATCTCACCAGGGCCAAATGCCAAAGCACATAGCCAATGACTTTCCATTTTTTTCTGAGTGAGAATGCTGTTTTGCCACTTTTAGCAATATTGCAACAATATCATGGTGGGGGACACCAGCAATAAGCGTCACACATTGGACCCACGTCGCAAAACAACTTGTGAACAATGCATGCCCACATATCTCAGTTTGAGGAGGATATTTACAACTAAAATAACAAAGAATATTACAACAGGTACCTGCAATGCACAGGCTAACATTATTTACCAGAAGCAAGTCATGAAGAAAATTTGCATCCGGAAACCTTCCGGAAACCTTCCAGATGCCTTCAACAACCTTCAAATTGCTTGGTATTTTCAAGTTAATTTTTTTATGTGTTTCACACTTAAGTGAACAAAATGCACCCCCCAAATTTTGACATTTTTTTTGGAAGGTTTCCGGAAGGTTTCCGGAAGGTATCCGGGCCGGATCAAAAATGGGTAGGTATCCGGAAGGTTTCCGGAAGACGGAAACCTACACTTTTTTTGCTGTGGTCTACCTCGTTCGTGTTACATGTTTGCATTTAACGTTTGCCAGTGTAAATCCCATCACATTGTACACAACTGATTTGTTGGCTGAAGTCCTTATTACTTGCTTTTTGTTTACTACTTATCTGACATTTATGACTCATTCTTAAGGAGTAAGCTGTCATCATGGAGATCAAGCTTTGATGTTCCATGAAGACTTCATATTTCGATATATGCAACCTCAAATAATTCCTCGCAGTTGTCAGTAAATATCATCACACCTCATGTGATCCCGTATTTTTCCCAAACGTATGTAAGATTTATAAAGCATGTCGTTATTGAATATGTAACAAAAGTGCTTATAATTCGGTTAAGAGTTGCAGATAAGTAATCTTTTATCTCACAATTCTCAGGTGTCATCACTGGTTGTCATTTGACTATAATATGAACTGATCCTAATAACACCCCATGTGATCATGTATTTCTTTCCACAAGTTTAGTGATGGTAATATTTGTAAAATATTATGGCCTGATCGTAAATGTAACAGTCAGTGCTTATAAACCTCTTAATAGATGCAGCTCATTATTTCGTTATCTTACTATTCTCAGGTGGCATCAATGGTTGTTATGGCGTTATTGGCTGGTGTGCATCCGTGTGTGGGGACGGCAGGTAAGTGTTCGATACGGGTGAGTGAACAATAAAGTACTGTACTTGTTATATTCAAATGATGATACTGTACAAGAACATTACATTGGACAATAACCTCATACAATACACATGTTCTAGCGCCTCCCCACCTGACCAGCTACCCTGAGGCTGCCACAGATGGAGCAGACCTCACACTGTCATGTACACCCGCACAGGGCAGGACATTGATAAGTGTCAGCTGGAACAGAAACAATGTTTACATATTTGATACAAGCAGTGATGACGACGCATCTGCTGCCATACTCCACCCCCTCACCATCTCACCCGAGTACCAGTCTGTGTCAGGACGTATCAGTGTCAACTCCTCCCCCCAGCAGCACAATGTGACTCTCAGGACCAACTCTCCACTCGACCAGGGATCTGTGTGGAGGTGTCAGTCAGGACAACAGTTCAGCAATAACCTCACTATTGAAGTCAAAGAGTCTATTCAAGGTACAAGCAGAGCCGAAGGTACGGGTGCATTATCACATGACGTGCTAAAGTGATACATGTATTAGAAATGATACCAATGCATCGTCTCAACAACATCTCAGAAAGAATAGCTAAGAATCATTATATAAGGCACCATATTTTATAACTCGATGTACAGTAGTACAGTAGTAGTAGTAGTAGTAGTAGTGATGGTGGTGGTACTTCTAGTAGAGGTGGTAGTAGTAGTAGTGGTGACGGTGTTTCTAGTAGTAGTAGTAATAGTAGTAGCAGTAAGTAGTAGTAGTAGTAGTAGCAGCAGCAGCAGAAGTAGTAGTAATAGCAGAAGCAGTACTAGTAGTAGTTGTTGTAGTAGTAGCAATAGTAGTAGCAGTAGTAGTGGCGGCGGCGGTAGTGGTAGTTGTACTAGTATTAGCAGTAGTAGAATGAGTGAATGAATGAATTTCTTTATTTCCTCCAGAGTTGAGTCCGAAGATTTTACATGGGCAAATACATTATATACAATACATCAATGAAATTACTTGACTATATACAATGAAATCACGTTATACAATGCTACGAATGAAGATATGGACAAAGAACAATTTGAGAGCAGTAAAGTGTCTAGTAGATATACAAAAGGTATTTCTTTAGTTTCCATATGAAGTGGCAGAAAGACATTATGATGCTTTACCAAGTATCGTAATCAAGTTCGTTAGTCAAGTCACGGACATCTGCACCGAGAAAGAATGAAGGCTTATCATCATCGTCAAGCATATATATTTTCACATCTACATCAAGATAAAGTTTATCAATCAGGCATGAGAAGAAATGATTTCTGGCAGGCATAAACATTTCACAGTACAAAATAATATGGCAATCATAGTCATAGCAATGTCTATTACAATGGTTACATTCTTTCGACATTTTTGCTCTTGATCCGATTTAAATACAAAGTTGCAGGGGTTGTCTTAAATGTGGATAGACATATATTACATTATAAAAAAACATGCACTTGTAACCGTTTATGAATTTTATGGTACTGTGACAGATCCGGTCTCTGTGCTAGTCTCTCTTTCCAGATGTAATGTTCATTCTCTGATTGACGTCTAATTACATGAGCTCGCCAAGCCGATTTAGTTTGGAATGAACCACTTTAAGTATAGCTTTCTAAATGGTATTTTTAGCAGTATATAGAAGGATGTTGCAAAAGCTTACTGGACGGCTAATATTGACAATAGCGTTGGTAGCAATGTGAGCACAAAATAGATCTTTTTTTTATTGAGTTACAATCGTTAATGCAGAGCCTTCCTAATAATTGTAGTCTACATTTATCAATGTAGCCATTCATTGACCACATTCCAAAGTTTGAAATCGAATCGGTTGAATGCCTTTTACCAAATCCTTGAATATGACGTGCAAAGTAAAGTTGTGTACATTCAATCATTTCAAGTTCTGTACCGTATAAGGCTGGTAACAATTCACATCTGTAAAAGCTTGCAGATAAAATCATTCTTTTCCATATATTGACACATGTAACTGGGTGGAGGTCGGAATCGTTAAGGCCGAGTGATCGTAGTGAATCAACACATTTTCTTGCCTTTGAGCAACATGTCATGATTCTTTCTTTACATGATAAATTACTGTTTATGATTATTCCGCCATATTTGACGGAGTGGTTGTGGTGGTGGTAGTAGTAGTGATAGTAGTGCCGGTGGCTGTGGTGGTAGTGATTGTTGCAGTAGTACACGCTTGACAGGCTTCCAACATTCAAGGCTGCAAAAGATTGCAGGCACAAAATACAAAATTATAAAAAGATAATACTTTTTTGGTAGGCTTTTTAGTGCCTTGTATTTTCTTGTACATTCCTAGAGGCATCGTCTCCAGGTCCTGTATCAACCAGAGAGAGTACAACGTTGGCCACTGAAGAACAACATACAGGTGCGTATTTGAAGATCATATACTCTATCATTATGCCCCTTTCACTGAACATATACTTTTACCACAGTGACATGGACATTTAGCATCGAAATTGTCAGTATTTGAACTTGAATGTTTAAAGTGATTCTGCTAAGACAAACATACAATTGTCGACACCATGGCTTTACATAGCATGCACATTTCTTTTGTTGGAAATTTTATAAAATGTCCGTACTGCATCCGTGGATTAGAGGTAGAGCGTCCGCCCAGAGAGCGTAAGGTCCGGGGTTCGATCCCGTCATACCAAAGACATTAACAGATTGGGCAAAAACAAGGACTGGTCGGCTCGGAGTCAGTCTTCTGTGTCTGAGCGGGGTACACATCTTAATCTGCGGCATAGCATCTCAGCAAATAAGCACTTTTAATCGGCATCAGTTAAGACAAGTACAGTAGCCACATACACACGCACGTGTATGTACGTCGCGATATAAATGCAATAATCTCCGACGCGACCTTAAACCCAATTTCACCTCACCTCATCTTGTGTAATGTCCACATATGAGACTGTTGCTGTTGTGTGATGTTTCCGTTTTAAAAAAATCACACTGAAGCAATATTTAATCATAATCTTTCATGACTTTCGTCATCTTTGTGAGGCCCAGTTTTGCCCGTATGTTGAACCATTGTTTCAATGTGTTATATACTGAATATCTGTATGTTTCAAGGTCCATCGTCGACTGATGACAAAGACATGATTACAACAAACCAAACAACGACATCGACACAAAGTATGTATCAAAACTAGGGTACTGCAATACAGGTACTGCTTTACAAGACCATGTGACACTATAAGACATCATTATTTTGAAATCACTATTTTACTCACTCACTCACTCACTCACTCACTCACTCTTTCACTGATCATAAACTTCTACAACAGTGAAGTGGACCTTTCCAATCGAATTTTTCAGTTTTTTTTAAACTGAATGTTTAAAGAGATTCTGCTCAAACAAACATACAATTTGTTGGGGTTTTTTTGGAAATTGTATGTAATATCCAGATTGCCTCTGTGGACTAGCGTCCGTCCGGAGAGGAGAAGGTCCGAGGTTCGATCCCCGGTTGCGTTACACCAACAGCCGTTAACAGATGGTACTTGTTGTTAACTTGCCTGGGGCTCGGCATAAAGGGTCTAAACAAGGACTGGTCGGCTCGGAGTCAGTATACTGTGTCTAAGTTGGGTATTCATGTTAATCTGTGGCATGGTATCTCAGTGAGTGAGCACTGTAAAACGGCATCAGTCCTGTCTAGTACAAGCAGCCACACACACAAACGTGCATGCACGTCGCTATATGAGTGCAATAATCTTGGAGGCGACGTTAAGCCCCATTTCACCTCACCTCACATCACCTTTTGTAATGTCTACATATGAGCCTGTTGTAGATTTTTCCTTTAAAAAGGCCCACTGAAGCGATATTTAATCATATATATTTCATGACTTTTGTGGTTTGACGCTTCACAACTCGATTAAAAAATAAATATTAATTGAGTTACCGATTCCTCAATCTTTGTTAGGCCTAGATTTGACCGTGTGTTGAACGATTGTTTCATTGTGCTATATACTGAATATCTGTATGTATAAAGGTCCATCCTCGAGTCATGACAAAGATATGATGACAACGAAGCAAACAGTGTCCACAAAAAGTAAGTATCAACACTAGACCACCGCAATTCAAGTACTGCTTTACAAGACTTTGTGAAACTATAAGCCATCATTATTTTGAAATTAATTTTTAAAGAATGTTTAACGATTATAGAAAATTTTGTTTTAGAAATAGGTTTGGTGATTATCAGTCGACTGCAAGTTTTATCGTTGGCTTCAATCTGTATTGCTTTACTTATGTAATGTGATCTTTCCTTTTTAAAAAAGCACACTGAAGCAATATTTAATCATATATCTTTCATGACTTTTGTGACTTGACGGTTCACAACTCTATTGAAAACTGATTTACCGATTCCTAAATCTTTATGAGGCCTAGTTTTGACCGTATGCTGAACGATTATTTCAATGTGTTATATACTGACTATCTGTATGTTTCAAGGTCCATCCTCGACTGATGACAAAGACATGACTACAACGAACCAAACAACGACATCGACACAAAGTATGTATCAAAACTAGGGTACTGCAATACAAGTACTGCTTTACAAGACCATGTGAAACTATATATTTATCATTCTTTTGAAATTACTATTTTAAAAGAATGTTTAATGATTATAGAAAAGTTGTTTCAGAAATAGGTTTGGCGATATTATCAGTCGACTGCAAGTTTTATTGATGGCCTTAATCTGTATAAATGTACTTATCATCCGATGTGTCCTGATGAAATAAACATGTATGTATTATCTTTCAGCCCCTTTCATTGAGACTGTTGGATTCATCTATGTTGTTGCTGGATCCGCGGGTGTGGTGATTGTGGTTGTCATCGTCATCGTTGTGTTGCTGTGCATACGATCCAGACGGGAGGGTAAATGCCAGACAGATGGTGCGAATGTTTACTTACATTCTTCTACGTTTACGTTCATATGATACGAATAATCTTGTAACTTAAATAAAAGAGATCTCATGCGATGTTAAACGTTAACGCATTCATTCCTTTACCAATACCTGTATGAACTTAAAACGCCTGTACAATTGTATAAAATATTTTCAGACAAGACAGAGAAAGACAATTGGTACGTATTTGCTGTTTTCTACTTCTCAATACTATCCTGAATTGGTGACATCACCTCTAAGTGACATGTAACAGCTGCAGCATCACCCAAGATAGCACTGCGACGTTTTAGTCTACTTTCATCAGGCAACTTACTGTATTCAAATCGTTTCGTCAATGGGTTATATCTTACACACACAGCATTATACAAATAAATAAAAGCGACAAAACCCTTTCCACATTCATAAGAAACCTCTGCCAAGAGCAGAGTCAGTTGAAGATTCCGACAATATCATGAGCATATTCTATAGATCACTGTGAAGCACCAGCACACCACTTTGGCTGAACATAAACACTTAATCTTCAAATCTCCTGGCTTTATACAACGACCTTCCACTACGGCTGTAGATTATTCTGTTGACATCATGGCACCATTTCGCTTTTTGCCCGAGGTCACCATGGAGATAACATAGTTCTGATTATTCTGTTCTCTGAATGTTTCAGCGAAGAACGGGGACATAACGAGGAATCTGAGAGAGAGACGATCGGTAGGTTTGTGATTCACTGTTATGCTTCCTTTGTGTTAGAGATACTGTTTTGGCATATTATATTATCTGAATCCTGGGTGTAGTTTATTATCTTAAACATCTTAACACTTCAATCTGCATTATGTCCTGTATCGACGAGTTGTTGACCACGAACGCTGGGTGTCAGCAGAGACATCAGGTGTCAGGTAGGCTATGTTTTGTTATGTGGAAGTGATTAAGATTGAGACAGAGAGAAAATAGGTGAAGGGTATGCTATGTTGTGTAATGTGGAAGTAAGTCAGATTGAGACAGAGAGACAACAGGTGCCAGGTAGGCTATATTGTGTTCTGTGGAAGTAAGTCAGATTGAGACAGAGAGACAACAGGTGTCAGGTAGCCTATGTTGTGTTATGTGGGAGTGATAAGGATTGAGACAGAGAGACAACAGGTGTCAGGTAGGCTATGTTGTGTTACGTGGAAGTGATAAAGATTGATACAGAGAGACAACAGGTGTCAGGTAGGCTATATTGTGTTACGTGGATGTGATTAAGATTGATGCAGACAGACAACAGGTGCCAGGTAGTCTATGTTGTGTTATGTGGAAGTGAGTCAGATTGAGACCAATTGAAAACAGAAAAGTGTTGTTAATACGTGTCTCATTATTTGAATATTTTTGTGAAAGGTGAATACATGCTGATATGAATATAAATCCTCAGCGACAACAATCAACTTTCAAAAACGGCTCATGACTTATCCTAACCGTAATAAGATTATTTTATAATTTGTGGTATGTTTGCTGTGTTTAGTGATGGAGGATAATGATTTGTATCATGGATTTGTTGGAATCAAGAACCAGAAGTCAGCAGAGAAACAGCAGGTGTCAGGTAAGTTATTCTGCCGTCATGTATATCAACGTAACTTATGATTGCCAGAGACATAGACAATATATACATCCATTTCATTTCTATGTGGACTAACTGTGGCAGTTGGGAATGCGTTTTTCCACATCATTCACAGAGACAAAGACGACAGTTCATATATATGTACACTAACTGTGGCAGTTGGGAATGCCATGATTCCCCTACAATCACAGGGACATAGACGATATATTACATCCACTTCATATATATGTACACTAACTGGGGCAGTTGAGAATGCCGTGTTCCCTGATCACAGAGACATAAACAATATATACATCCACTTCACATGTATGTACACTAACTGTGGTAGTTGGGAATGCCGTGTTTCCCAATCAATCATAGACGATAGATGATACATACATCCGATAAACATTACTGAATATACACACTGTATCACAAGACAAGATAATCTTTGTTTTCATTTAAGATGTGTATGCAAAGGTCAACAAGGTGAGGAAAACCCACAATGCAACAGAAGTACAGATCACTCTGAGTATTGAAGACCTGTATGCAAAACCCAACAAACAAGCTAGCGGAAAAAGGGAAGGTAAGCCCATATGTACCTGTGTTTTCTGAAACATTTTTTTGCAGTAATGAATATTCATGAAATTATGATGTATGTAAACGTAATAATTTATAGATAATAGCTGTTTATGTCAGAAACTAATCGGGATGATTAATAAAATGTGAAAAGTATTTCGCAAAAACGCATTTGATGACTAGGTGTCACTGTTGAAGGACACATTCAGTGTGACAGTAGGGTCTACTATTGTGTATACCCACGGTACGTGGCAAAATGTTGACAGGCAGTTTCCGAAGGTTTCATTGCTGTAGCATCGGAGGGAAGCATCAGTGTCACCATGGGGATAGTGTAGCATAGAACCTGCGATGTTTTACCTGGACTTAGCTGCCTGTTCATTGCTCTCATTCTTTCAGCAGCATCCAAGGTTTCCTCAAACGAGAACGCGGATGTCAACACCCCCGACTGATCGAGACTTAGACCGGATCAAGAGTAGAGGTCGTTGAGGAATTCCACTCACGCGTGCACGGAGTTCTTCATGTTTTATAATGCATCGTCATTACAGCTTTTACTCCTACGAGGAATATACAGACAGTTAATCACACAGTTTGATCAGATGTATTTTGTATTTGTTTATTTATAACACCGTACCACGCAATATGTGGGCTATATAAGCCTGTATTGAATTGAATCTGGACAAGATACTCCTGTGATTGATATTATGAGCAACTTTCAACCTCTTTGCGGTTCTGTGACGCGCTAGCAACTCAGTCACCACTCCTGGCCACCCATGTGAATTGATGGGCTCTGACGACCGGCATATGGACACCAACAGATTGGTCCACATGACCGGAGAATAAAAAACTACCGTACATTGTCACAATGATTATCTCAGATTGTCAAAGTTTTTCTGCTACTATTTACAAGAATACCAAAAGAATATAATGTTAGCAAGGGTTGACAACGATATAAGAATCTATACCGAAACGTCTCCTTTACAGTAAACGGAAATTGTTGTCCATAAATTATCTCCACTTTGTCATCCGTCAACTTTTAAGTAATGTCTGTCAAACAACGCATGTTTTCCTTAGATTGTCAAAGTATTTCTTTTACTATTTACGAGAATACCAAAAGAATATCCTATGAGAATAGAATATGTCAACAATTCCACGAACGGTTATTCACGTCTTTCAAAAATACAGTGTACCTTGAAAGGAATAGTGGGCAATCATCCAAACTGACCCACAAGGTTAAGCGAGTAAAGAAATTCGGAAAAACGAAGCAATGTCCCCATTCCCTTGAAGTTCTTTGCAAGCATGTGTTATAACACAGCTTGTTGAGATGTTTGCTTTAGGTGTATTATCTGTAAATGTTATAGCCTTATACACGGTGTTACTCGTTTATATTTGCTGATACCTGCTTATTGAACTTCATGTTTGTGGACATGGCTTAACGAGTAACGAAATACGGATACAAGCATTCGTTCGTTACAAGCATGTGTTACTGCAGCATTAGGATACCTGCTGAGTCTCTGTGTTTCATTTGCTAATATATACATACCTGCTTGTTGAACTACTTTCGTTGGGTGTATTATCTAATGATGTTATTACCATATACATGGAGTCACTGTTTTATTTGCTAATATATGTACCTGCTTGTTGAACTACTTGCGTTGTGTGTATTATCTAATGATGTTTTTACCATATACATGGAGTCACCGTTTCATTTGCTTATAATTTCACACTTTAAAGTTTACACTGTTTTGTCATGCTGATTGGCTGAATGGGTAGTCACGTGATCTGATGATTGGAGGTAACACTCCTGTGAACGGACCGAAAAGTTCACACAATATGAATTTTTTGTGTGTGTGAAACTGATCGTGTGAACTTTTGCCGGAACTACTTTCCAGGGATTCCCCGAATTCTCTCTCGGTTTTCACGGTCAACTCGTTATTCTATTTTCTTTTTAATCCCTGCATTTATCAGGAATATAATCGGTTAAGTATTTTTGCCTTGTCTTGCACCATTTCATCTGACTTAAAAATAAATAAATGCTTTGTTTATGGTGTTCAGCTGCTTGATGAAACAAAATGGATTGTCCAATTTCAATACTTACGCAAATGAAAGAAATGAAGTCTGTAAAATTACTGAGGTGAACGAAATTGATATATTGAGCGATATTGACTTTGATGCCTTGTTTTCGGAAATGACAGGAATCTAGCACCAATGAATTCCCGATCAACTATTGTATCGGGAAAAAAATTAAGATTTTGAGAAACCATAAAACATAAAAAGGTAAGGAAAGAAACTTACATTAAAAAATAATAAATCTACCTGTTTTACTGATTGCTCATCGGAGACGAGAAAATATCCGTACACGGAATTACTTTTCCGGTTTCTGAGTTGGCCGACCGTTTCCGTGCATTCTAGGCCGAGAAGCGGCGGCACATGAGGAATGACGGGGTACAGAAATGACGCAGGCATCAGGTCATACAGTGGTCCCATCTCAGGTGACAAGAAACCACATGCTAAGCAAAGTATTACAGCACACACCACACATCTCAAACTCCAAATTAAACACACCCTGACGTTGACAAGTAACACAAAACACATGTTTCAGAGCACTCCGTTCTATCCCCACCAGTCCATTCCACATCGTCCGAATGGTTTGCGATTATCCAAACACAAGCAACACATTCATAAATCGGTGATATTCCCAATTTGTTAGTGCCATGAGAGGGTTCACCCGTCGGTGTGTTTTCCATAACTGCTCCATAACTTAATTTTCAAAAGCAGTAAGTATAAATTTCATCCTCATGCTTCCGTCCGATTCGAAATGCACCTGTTTACAAACTTGTGTGACGTCATATATGAATCCGCGCTTGAAGGTTGACCTCGCGTCGTTGCATCGAGGTCATGTTTATATTTTGGTTCACTTTCCTGTAACCTATCTTTAAGATTTGATTTATCCCAAATATTGTTTGTAAATTTGTTCACAGAATGAAATTGTTTCGACATATTTCTAGATTATGTTGTATATATTCAAAGAACTATTTTTCTTTGTTGAACTGAGCATGAGTAGGGAAATGTATGTGACCGAGTGTGACCGAGTATGAAAACTGCATGCTGTGAATATATATGGACGAAACTGGCGTTACAATAGCAAGATGATCAAGACTATGCCAGATGACCAGGGTAGCTGTTTGATGTGGTGCCAGTTCGTTAACCCTAGACCTCTCTACATGGCTTACACTAACTTTGATGATCTGATTCTATCGAGTAGGATATAATCATTCAGATTTAAAGAGAACATCACCTGTTTGACTGATGACGTCCTTGGTTTTAAGGTATAATGTTAAAGCCCTGACCAGTGCTATACATACAGTATGGGAAAAGCCACCCGGCTCTGAACAGGTTTGAAGTGACGAATGTCAAGATACAACAATGCTGTTGTCCCAGCTGCGAGTACGATGATGAGGATAAAGATTTCCACTGACCAGTGCATAATTAGTTGGGAGAGCAATCTGGCACATCCCCTACCTCAGATAATACCAAAGTATTATGCAATGCTTACTTCCAATATGCAAAATATTTTTAGGTTTTATGATATCTTATTAAAATACATCACATCAAACTTGTGTATGTTTTGCAAAGAAGATGGTATACTTGATATCCGTAAGGATGCATCAATGAACAATGTAGTACATTACTGAAACAAGAGAGCCAGAAAAATATATTGTCAATGAAATTAGGATTTGGGACACAAGACTGAATACTTAGCAGGTTTGACGCATCATTTCAAAGACAAAACACGGAGTCCAACTGGTCTTTTCATACAATATTAACTTGTCCGCTTACATTGTAGTCGGTCTATTATTTTACGCGTATGCATGTCTAATGTCATGGTTGTTAATAGGCATTCCCTACTTTGTGCTACACTCACACCACCTTAAATGCCAGGCGTCGAACGCTGCCGTGCCTGTCGCACGACTTGGCGTTACTCGCGAATGACTATTAATGTTTGATAATATGATGTAAATATAAACGACAAAGTACCTAAACGTACCAGATCTTGAGCATGTTTTTAAATCACTATCACATTTTGAAGACACCAGGTGTTCGCGAAAAGGTGAGCGTATCCAGCCCCAATGGTAGCACCTCTCACAAACACATGCAAAGGCAAGTCAAATGTTCACCTGAAACAACACGCGAACATATCGCACAAATTGAAATATTGAATTGAACATCAGACATCATTTTTGGCACTGGTTTGGAAATGTCCTCAATAAGTCTACTTTAAAACATAATAGGTCTGCTTTTCTTTGAAATGATCGTAGAAAGAGTGAGTGGGTGTGGTTTTACGCCGCTTTTTGCAATATTACGGCAATATCACGGCGGGGGACATATTGTACCCATGTCGGGAATCGAACCCGGGTCTTTCGTAGAAAGAACATGCTTGATTGTATCTCAAAATATCTGCTGCTGGAATACTAATCGACATATAGGGAGCGTTGACATTTGGAAAGTTGACTAATGACTCTCTCTACCTCCAGGGCGGTCGGGTAACCTAGTGGTTAAAGAGTTCGCTCATCACGCCGAAGACTCGGGTTCGATTCCCGACATGGGTACACTGTGTGAAGCCCATTTCTGGTGTCCCCCGTCGTGATATTGCTGGAATATTGCTAAAAGCGGCGTAAAACCATACTCACTCACTCACTCACTCACTCTCTCTGTGCCCGCACTTTAAATGATGATTAAATCTTGTAATCAATGACTTGGCTGTCGAAGTTGGAGCAACAAGCCACCCAAACTCATGCTCCAAACGCAGAAGTAAAAACTGGTTAACCAAGGTTTATATTTCGCATTTTTAATAAGCAAGTGTTGTGAATCCTCTATATGTGCGACAAGAACACTTAAAAACACTTCCATCAGTCGTCCGATTATTATGGTGGTAGTGACCACTTAAATCTCAGTGGGAAGTTCGTGTGTCCTGGTATCAGCTGGTTGTTTAGTGAAATGCTTGTCTTGTCACTGACACCCGGTTCATGATGGGTTAATGGAGGTAGCCAGGTGCAGAAGTAGCTTTAGTTTCCTGTCAATAATCAAGTCAATTTCCGCATGGCTCTCAGTGACGTCTAACTGATCCTGACTTAGAAGTTAACTTCCTGATTTGAACCCACTGTACCTCGGTCACCTGACGGTGTTCTGCACGTGTTATCAGTGGCCATTGATCACTCATAATGGTCCAAGGATTATGCACAAACCATGTGACGACAGAGTAGACGACGTTATAACAGAACCTGAGTGTGAAACCTGTAAACTGTCAGGAAACTATTTAACATAGATAATCAACTAAACGGACGTTATACAAACCAGATGGTTTGGATAATCAACTAAACGGAGGCTATACCCACCAGATAGTTCAGATATGAATTAAACAAAAGCAATACAAACCAGATAGTTCTGATATGAACAAAACGTGCATTCTAGGCCGAGAAGCGGCGGCACAGGAGGGATTACGGGGTACAGAAATGAAGCTGGCATCAGAACATGTATACAGTAGGCTCATCTCAGGTGACAAGAAACACCAGGTAAGCAAAGTATCACAGCACACACGACAAATCCCAAACTCCAAATATAACACACCCTGACGTTGAAAATTAACACAAAACACACACGTTTCAGAGAACTCCGTTCAATCCCCCCACCAGTCCATTTCAAATCGTCCGAATTGCTTTGCGATTATCCAAACATAAGCAACACATTCATAAATCGGTTCACGCGTCGGGGTGTTTTCCGTAACTGCTCCATAAACGACATTTTCAACAGCAGTAAGTATAAATTTCACCCTCATTCTCCCGCGCTTGAAGGTTGACCTCGCCTCTGTTCATCGAGGTCATGTTTATATGTTTGTTCACTTTCCCGTTACCCATTTTTAAGATTTGATTTATCCCAAATATTGTTTGTAAATTAAATGACATTATGTTGGCATATTTCTAGATTATGTTTAATATATTCAAAGAACAATTTTTCTTTGCGTACCTGGGTATTAGTGGGGAAAGGTATGTGAACGAGAGCGGGCAAATACCGACAAAATAACATTGTTGCAATGTTCTCTGATGATATTATTCGGCGAGACCAGTAAACTACAAAGTATGAAATTATAAGAATTAAACCTCAGTTTGGATGGGTTTCATTAAGTGTGAACAATTTAAAAGCGCTGGTTGAACTGTGTGAACCTCCGAGCTTGCGAAATCGTTCACTTTTCAATCAGTCAAACTTCAATGAACCCATCCAAACTGACGTTCAATTCTTAAATATATATATACCTGCTTGTTGAACTACTTGCGTCAAGCAAATTACCAATGGATTTCATTTACATATACATGGAGTCTCTGTTTCGTGTGCTAATTTATTACCTGCTTTCAACTGTCAAGTGCATGTCATCAATGTGATCCGCTTAACGTGTGCCAGAAATTACGGCAGATTAACATTTTATAAATAGCTATTGTTGTATCATATATGATAAGTGCTTTATAATTGTTGTATTGAAGTATTGAAGTTTTTTTGCATAAAAGCTAATGATTTCGTAGATTTAGTTTACCCGTTTCCAGAATCTACATGTAATCTGGCCTAGTATCTGTGTAAGTTGTATTATCAAAAATGTTAAATGCTTATGATGTTAAGATTGTGTCTAGGTTATTGTATTGATATATTGGGACAAAAACCTACATATATTCATGTCGTGAAAATTGTGAACAATGTCTACTGTCAAATGTCTAACTTTGATACTGTGGTTCTGTTAATCACCCAGATTTAAAATGCACATCGCCTGTCTAACTGATGTCATCCTTTGTTTTATGGTTGTATGTTAAATCCCTCAGCAGTGCTGTACATACACTGTGTGGTGTTTTGATTTTTTTATTGATGTGTTGGACAAACAACAAGCTATATTTATGCTATGAAAACTGCATGCTCTGAATATATACAGTCTGGACGAAACTGGAGTTACAATAGCCAGATGATCAAGAATATGCCATATGGTCAGGGTAGCTGTTTGATGTGGTGCCAGTTCGTTGACCCTAATACCTCTCTAAACGGCTTACACTAACTATTGAGAAAGATATAATCATTCAGATTTAAAGTGCACATCACTTGTTTGACTGATGTCGTCCTTGGTTTTAAGGTTAAATGTTAAACCCCCTAGCAGTGCTATACAGACAGACAGACAGTTTATTCAGTAAGAAGGCCATAGGCCCTTAATACAGACAATGATTGATTGCATGAACTACGCATGCCAATGAAGTAGTCGATTTAAGTTTATCTTAGCCGTTGACCTTTATATAGATATAAACATGTGTTATATACAACATCAAAGTTTTCTGAGGAAATAATTTCAGTAAAAGATGTTACAGTTTGAAACTTGATATACTGTTTAAGATACATATTTTTTTAGGGCTGAATAACGCTCACATACAAGTAAAACATGAAATTCATCTTCAATAAAAGATATACCATTTTCTATACAATATTTACATAATCGTTCAGTGTGTGGGACATTTGTGTATCTCCCCAAGTCAATTGCAAGTTTAAACTTGCTACATCTGAAACGAGTCATACATATTCTCAGATGTACTGGTATGGGGAGTGTAAGATGTTTTTCTACATTTAACATGGATTTAAAATGTTTATAATAAAAGGTATCAGATATACTATTGATAGAACTACACCATGATTGTTGGAGGTTATCAAATATTCTTTGCTTAAAAAGATGAATAAATATCTTCACATTGCCAACATCTTGTGTTAACAATACATATCCAAAACCTAATTTATAAAAAATATTCTAAATGTGAGTAGCCGATGTGGTGCGACCAGAATGGTCCAGTGATTTGAGCATTAAATAACATTGGCGAGGCAGTCTGTGCTCATCCAAACGCAGTAGCCTGCACCAATACTTGATGGCCCTTGTGGTATACACAAGTTGGAGAGGGGCTCTTCCGCACTCTCCTAAAACCATTGCATTGTTTGTTGTTTTACCTGTATTTAGAAACCAATTACACATTTTATTCTGAACATCTTCAATACTTCAATTTTACAATATGAGGTGCCCCATATTTCTGCGCCGTAACAGACAATAGGCACAATCATAGCATCAAATATCTTAAATAAATCTTGGTAGGGTATATTACCAACTCTCTTTTGATATCTATATAATGTCATAATGGCCTTGTTACTCTGACTATCTGACAAATACAAGCATGTTGAGGGCATTTGCATTCATGATGACATCAAATACCATTGAACATTTTGTGACGCCGGTGGCGCAAATGTCTAACGTTATGACGCCAATTCCATTCTCGAACAATTGTGCTTAGCAGTTATCATGATCTCAGTCACAGGTAGACGTTAATTCCCGTGGTGTTAGCAGATAGCAAACAATTATATTTCGTTTTGTCCAAGAGACGCTTATTTGACCTTTTCCGTTGTCTAATGCATAGAACTTCTGCGTGGAGAGTTGAAGTCTTACCAAACAACATTAAGGGTGCTACTTGCCCGCAAGGTGAGTAAGTGAGTTTGGTTTTACCCCGCTTTCAGCAATATTCCAGCAATATTATGGCGGGGTACAACAAGGACTGGTATGCTCACAGTCAGTATATTATGTCTAATAATACGTACACACACATTTAATATCTCATATCAATCTTCGGGTTCATTTCTTCCACGTCTACTACGGCCATGCCACCTTTTCACATCACATGTTTGCCTATGTAAATTCAATAGAAGAATTGATTCGTTGACTCTGAACCCACACGTATTATTTGCCTTTAGATTTTTTTCACTGTGCAATAAGCTGCCATGATTCTCCCTTTACGCCGTGAAAACCATACACTTTCACCTGGGAATCATTCCTTGCACTCAGTGTATATGAACACAATCGAAACTGATCCTATTCACCCCTCATGTGATTATACAATTTTTTGCACAATATTTAAAGCATTCCGTCTGAGGTTGAGTGAGTTTTAATAATTGTCATGTATTAGATCAGTATTTCCAAAGCCCCATCTTACTTTTCTCAGGTGGTATCTCTTCGCCCTTCAGAGAAGATAAGAACATTACTGGTTGTCATGATGTTATTAGCCAGAGTGCATCCGTGTGTGGGGAAGACAGGTAAGTGTCAATTTTCATGTGTGAACCATAAGATATTGTACTTGTATTCAAATGATGATACTGTACAAGAACATGACATTGTACAGTAACCTCATGCAATACACATGTTCCAGCGCCTCTCCACCTGACCAGCTACCCTGAGTTTGCCACAGATGGAGCAGACTTCACACTGTCCTGTACACACGCACAGGGCAGGACATTGATAACTGTCAACTGGCACAGAAACAATGTTAACATCTTTGATACAGGCAGTGGTATCTTCGTATCTGCTGCCATACTCCACCCCCTCACCACCTCCCCCGAGTACCAGGCTGTGTCAAGACGTATCAGTGTCAGCTCCTCCCTCCAGCAGCACAGCGTGACTCTCAGGACCAACTCTCCACTCGACCAGGGCTCCTTGTGGAGGTGCCAGACTGTAGGACAGTTCAGCAATAACCTCACTATTGAAGTCAAAGAGTCTATTCGAGGTACTTCACTTATGATTGAAGAAAAGAAAACATGTGCAACGTTTGTGTTTGTGATAAGAACATAACATTGTAAAATAATCTCATAGAATACACATGGTCCAGCGCCTCCCCACCTGACCAGCTACCCACAGATAGGGCAGACTTCACACTGTCCTGTACACACGGACATGGTAAGACATTGATAGGTGTCAGCTGGTACAGAAACAATGTTAACATATTTGATACAATCAGTGACGTACGCGCGACTGTCGTATCTCTCCCACATTTGGATGTGATCGTTCGGCCACTGCGTTGATCTGCCTACCCCAGCTAGATCTATGTGGAAGAACTCACTGGACACTTTCCTCTCAAAAATAACGTCGTCCAATATATGACGTATATATACTGTACAGTCTGACTAATACTACTACAAAATTTGAAACTCTGACAGGCTTTCAACATTTCAGGCTCCAAAAGATTGCAGGCACAAAATACAATATTAAGAAAGATATCACTTTTGTGGTAGGCCTTTTAGTGCATTGTTTTTACCATGACATTCTACATTCCTAGGGGCATCGTCTCCAGGTCCTAAATCAACCAGGGACAGTACAATGTTTGCCACTGAAGGACAGCACACAGGTGCGTACTTGTAGATCATATCCTTTATCACTACGCCCCTTTGACTGACCATATACTTCTACCACACTGAAGTGGACATTTAGCATCTAACTTGTCAGTATTTGAAACTTAATGTTTAAAGTGAATCTGCTTGGACAAACATACAATTTGTGGCTTTATATAGCGTCGCCTGAGAGAGGGGGAGGTCCGGGGTTCGATCCCCGCTTGCGTCATGCCAAATGCCGTTAACAGATGGTACTTGTTGTTAACTTGTCTGGCGCTCGGCATTTATGGGCAAAAACAAGGACTGGTCAGCTCGGAGTCAGTACACTGTGTCAGAGTGGGATGTTCATGTTAATCCGCTGCATGGTATCTTTAACACTATACATTTCAGCCATTTGACAGCGGATTTTAAGGTTCCAGTCTGGATCAGAAAAAAACAGTGATTAATAGCATATGCGTGTCCCGAGCCTTTGGGTTGATGACATGTACAAAGCCACCAAAGTGTTTGGTTGACAACTTTCATATTATGTTGTTAGTCGTAGTAGTATTAGTGGCAAACAATGGTCACTAGTCGTTTTGTTTAGATATCAACATTATGTACCGATTTCTAAATCTTTGTGAGACCTAGATTTCACCGTGTGTTGAACGATTGTTTCAATGTGTTCTTTACTGAATAGCTGTATGTTTCAAGGTCCATCCTCGACTGATGACACAGATATGATGACAACGACCCCAGTAGACCCAGCAGTGTCCACAAAGTGTAAGTATCAACACTAGAGTGCCACCATACAGTACAGCATAGAGTAGTAATAGAAGTAAAAGTAGTAGTAGTAGCAGCAGTAGTAATAGCAGCAGGAGTAGTAGTAGTGGTAGTAGTAGTAGTGGCGGTGGTAGTAGTAATAGTAGTAGTGATGGTGATAGTAGTAGTATTAGTGGGGTGGTGGTGGTGAGTGTAGTGGTGGTAGTAGTAGTAGTAATAGTAGTAATAGTAGTCGTAGTAGTAGCACTACTGTTGTAGTGGTAGTAGTAGTAGAAGTAGTAGTGGTAGTAGTGGCGGTGGCGGTGGCGGCTGTGATGGCGGTAGTGGTCGAAGTGGCAGCAGCGAAGATGGTGGTGGTGGTAGTGGTAGAAGTAAAAGTAGTAGTAGCCGTAGTAGTAGCAGTAGTGGTGGTGGTAGTTGTAGTAGAAGTGAGTATGACTAGTAGTAGTAGTAGTAGTAGATAGTAGATAGTAGTAGTAGTAGTCGTAGCAGCAGTAGTAGTAGTGATGGTGGTAGTTGTAGTAGTAGTAGAAGTAGGAGTAGTAGAAGCAGTAGTTGTGGTGGCAGTTGTTGTAGAAGTAGTAGCAGTAGTAGTAGTAGTAGGAGGAGAAGTAGTTGTAGTAGGAGGAGGAGTAGCAGTTGTAGTATAACAAGCAGTAGAAGTAGTGGTGGTGGTGGTGGTGGTAGTAGACGTTATAGTGGTAGTATCAGGTAGTGGTTGCTGCAGCTTACATTGGGTAACTTGAGAGGTGTTCAAAATAAAGTAGTTCCGCGCGTTTCTTTGTCATCTACTCTGATTTTTCAGTCTTTTTTTAACAGATGGTAATGTGATGATAAGAATATATTTATATGTTCATATATATAGTTTGATTTTAATACACTTATCAGACATAATGTACATATAAGTGGTAGTTGACAAAATCACCTCCTTCTTTCCACGTCACTGATTCAATATCGGGCTACAACATCAGTTTTACATCTTAATGTGGCCGACTGCGAAGTATGGATTTTATATGTGAATAAAGCGACCAAACTCTATCCATATCCAATAGAAATGTCTGCATAAAGCAGAGTCTATTGTAAAATTCCGACTATATCATGAGCATGTGTTTGTGAATCACTATCAAATAGTAATGATACCATGTGTTCGCGAAAAGGTGAACGTGTCCTGCCCCACCGGTGGCCAACCGACGCACACACATGGGAACATATGGTAAAGTCAAAACAGGGAATTGCATCGAACATCATTTTTGTCACTAATATATGTCCACGAAATGTCCTCCATGTGACTACCAACTTTTTTAAAGCTTTACTGAGGCCTTGAATGTTGTAACCTTGATCAAACAACTTCTGAGCAAGAATCGTATGACGCTCTTTGAATATCTTGTTGGAAAGAGCATGCATCGATTGTATCTCAAAAGTTGTGAAATGTAAACACCAAAGGCTGGAGCCTTCACCTACAACATAGTCCTGAAACTGGAAGCACAATACAGGATGTATACAGGATGCCATGGTGACAATGATGAATATAACGATTCAAGTTGAGTTTACTTTTTACTCCAGGTGGAAATATTTTACTAATCACTGCTGCAGCTGGGAGCATCATCGTTGTCATCGTCATCGTCGTCGCCATTGCCACCTCTGTGTTACTCGTACGGAAATACAAGCAAGGTAAGTGCTGTTCTTTCATAGTGTCCAATATAAACTGTTTCCACTGTGTTGTTTACACACCCAGTGCTTGTCTGTACATATCTACTTTCTGTGAACTATTTCGGACGGAAATACAAGCAAGGTTAGTGCTGTTCTTTCATAGTGTCCAATATAAACTGTTTCCACTGTGTTGTTTACACACTGTGCATGTCTGTACATATCTATTTCTGTGAACTATTTACTTGTTGGCTGAACATTCAATTGTGTCGTATTTTTTTATATCATTTCACCGTTTTATTAATGCTTTAGTTGATGCGTCACCTTTACTCCGGCATATAACACCATTTCACAACAAGGAGACAATATTAGTATTATATTACATACCATGACACCTAAACGTAGTCGTGCCGTGTGTTGTTCCAGACATCGCAGAAAACTACAGCCAGATGTACAGCACCATGTCACGTGACCCTTACACTGATGACAACTACACTGAGTTGGATCATGTGCACACAGGTGAAAAGTTTCCTACTTCCCTGTCTGTCAACACCGAGGAGTCCCCGGCCTACTACAACACAGCTACTGCTGACAGTCAGTACGAAAACCCAGCCGCTTCCACAGAGTGATACGTAACCTGTATTCTTGATGCAACATGGTTAATGTCTGGGCCCCAATGGTATGGTCAATTCTCAGACTCAGCACAAGAAAAACGTTCTGTTCTCTTTCATACAAATTACGACCACTTCCAGAAAGAGGAAGATCTGCAGACATATTATACCAATAACAACTTGTTAGTACTTATTGTTTCCCTGTCTGGCGTTTGACTTAAAGGGATAAAACAAGATTTGGTTCACACCGAGTCAGTATAATGGATGTAGTATCCATGTTAAACTGCTGCATGGTACCTCAGTGGGATGACATGAACAAAACCGACCTCACTCGGACTGTAACAATAAGCCACATACACTTGCATGCACGTCACTGTGTAAGTGAAATAATCTTAAAGGTAGTGTTTAACCCAAAGGCATCCCCATACACATCAACGTGTGTCCTAGATGTTGTCCTGTGTTGTACTTGTGATATGGACAACCCCATGACACCCCCATACACATCACCGTGTGTCCTAGATATTGACCTGTGTTGTACTTGTGATATGGTCAACCCCATGACACCCCCATACACATCACCGTGTGTCCTAGATGTTGCCCTGTGTTGTACTTGTGATATAGACAATTTCGTGTCTGTTGTTTTGATTATGTGTTTAATGTACTTGGGTTTCCTTGATTTTGTTTGAAAACCTGCCTTTTATGGATATATTTTATTGGTTTGTGTGTTTTAATCTACTTTATTGAACTTGTTCTTTACTTTCTTCTGTTTCTGTCTTGGTTTGTTGTTTTACACTAATACATTTTATTTTGACAATGTTTGAAGGTGATACACATAAGGTGGAGAATTTCTTTATTATAAGGAACACAACGTTTTGGAGTATATACATGTACTGACCCTTTGTTTGGAATTGAAAAAGTGTTTGTATTTCAAGGCTGTTTTACCAAATTTGAATTTACCGGGTTTGGGTTTGTGCCAGACTTTTCACCAAGTTTCAATTTCTCGGTTTTGGTTTGTGCCGTTTAGGATTTTGGTCACTATTTTTGGAAACCACGTTTTGTTTGGAAGTTGATAGCTGAGGTTATCGACAAACTTTCACTTTTGTGGGGATTTGAGGCACCAAAATTGTTTTGTACCGGTCAATGTACCAGTCTCAGTCATTCAGTCTAAGTCAACTTTGTAAACCAGTGAACATTATGACAATCGGTCTGTCAGTCAAGTTCGTACAGTCAAGAGAGTCGGTCAACCACAATATGTTGTCAATGTTGAATTGATCAGCCAAACTATTTGAATGATGATTTGGAGGAATGTGAAAATTGTGACATTTGTCCTTCTGTCTGCGGTCAGTTGGAATTGTGACATGGTTCGAAAAATGTGTTTAACAGCTGTGGTTGTTTAATAAATGACTGCGTACAGACATATTGCCTCAAATTTCATTCCCTCCAACACCCTTTCATCAGGCGAATGAATGCTATGAGGCAGAGGGGTTGGAATCGTGCCGTGGAGAGGACTGATTCTTCGAAGATTTCAGTGATGATTGGCGAACAATGTATTCCTCATAATAACAAAGTTGACATCCATAAATTCTCTTATATTCCCTTATATTTATTTTACGTTAAAACCATTGTAATCAGACGATCCCATCCACACTTTAAACGTTACCAACCATACCAAGTGATACTTTCTGACTGTTGATCAACTCATGTTTTCTGTCTGGCTATTCTTATTGGAACGGGACATTTGACATAACGACTTACATAAAGACTGAAAATCTTAGTGATGAGTGGAGAAAGAGGGGGCTAAGTATATACTAAGGAGTAAGTTTATGTTCCTCACAATAAAGAAGTTGACATCCATAAATTCTCTTCCTTATATTTATTTTACGTTAAAACCATTGAAATCAGACGACACCATCCGCACTTGAATCGTTACCAACCATAACATGTGATACTTTCTGAGTGTTAACCATGAATGTTGTCAAGTACAGTTAAAGCTGGCATTAACATTGAATAGTGACATTTGGGATATGGAAATAGTCACACACACACATAGATGAACACTAGTCATGGATGTCAGCATTCAGTGACAAACTGCATCCAGTACACCTGTGTGTGTAACACAAGATAAAAGGACTCACGTTGAGAAGCACAAATATGGAGTGTGACACAGATAAGAGCTTCAAGCCATGCTGTACGTCATAGTACACTGAGTACTCAGATACAATTGTCACACACTAGGAAAGCCTACATTTACTCATACTCTATTCAATAAGGCGCCCATGGTTTATAAACCCACGGTGTACGACAGGTTTAAATAAGTCTACTAAAGAACGTAAATTGCAATGGTGGAATATTGACAGGATGTTGACAATTCACACATGATGTTCCTGCTGTGCTGCGCCAGACAATAGATACATTTGTTGTGCAGGCTGTGTGAATGGCGGGTGCTACAGGTGGGCCACTCTGTTCACTCTGTTCGCGAACACCTGGTGACATCATTGATTTTCAGTGGTCCATTCATATTATTCGCAGTTATGTTGCCCTCTCCGCCAAATGGAATCTGTTTAGGAGGATGATCAAGACTGGTAATTCCCTTGCACTGACGTTTTATATTTACTGGAATGTCGATATGTTTATTTGTCAGATGTGGTCAGTATGTTGTAGACGTAATCAGTGTATAATGGTATAGTAAGTATGTTTGTATATCTACATGGTGTTTGGTTTGTTTGTTGTTTATCACCCCACTCAGCTATAGTCCAGCTATATGACAGTGGTCTGTAAACAATCGAGTTTGAAACATACAATCCAGGGATTGACATGATGAGCATCAATCCACGCATTTGAAATACGATTACATGTATCAACCAAGTCAGCGAACCTGACCTCCCGATACCGTTAGTCGCCTTTTATGGAGAGATTGGGTTGCTGAAAACCTATTCTACCCCGGATCTTCACGGGTCTCAGAATATGTGGACGCACGTTGAAAGCACATATATTGTGACACAAGGCACATAGATTGTGAGTTTCAACCCATGTTGTATGTCATACAATAGATGAACGCATGGGTGGCAACACATAACAGTCAGCCACACTGTTCACCTGTGGGTACAACACAAGAACTATTTACACACGATGGAAGGGGCATTGTACACTGATAACTCAGATAGAGGTATCAGACATTAGGCAGACAGGCACTCACAATCTAGTCAGTTGAGCATGAGGTGTTTCCCATAACCTCAGTGTGTAACGGGTGTAAACTATACAGCCTTTTCTTGTGTAGAGAACTGGAGTTGTCAATGTTACATCCCGTCAACACTCAGTTCTGATGGAATGCAACTCCAACACCAGTGGTTGTAATTCAATAGTGCACACACTACAATTCAACTCTCCATATTTGCGCGGGGGGGGGGGGGGGGGGGGGGGGCGGTTGTTGTAATCTATCACATGTACACGATGTAATTATATCCCGAAGCACAGACCTATGTTTACCTCATAGACATCACTTGTGTTTGCATCAAATATATCACATCTTGCACCGACTGCCCTCGTGTATTTGTATCGTCCTAAAGTTGTCCCTTTATGCTGTTGAACATCGGAGGTTTTAAATCCCTGATACATGGTATGTTTTCAGACTGTAATGAGTTGCTTCCCCTGACTCAGGTGGGTAGGAAATATCTTGATTCAGATATTGTGGGATGCTGACTGTTCTCCGGTCACGGCAATGCAGGTTATATTGCCAGCAGAGACCCAGCAGAATGAGTGAGTGAGTGAGTGAGTATGGCTTCACGCCGCTTTTTAGCAATATTCCAGCAATATAACGGCGGGGGACACCAGAAAAAGGCTTCACACATTGTACCCATGTGAGGAATCGAACCCGGGTTTTCGGCGTGACCACTAGGTTACCCCCACCGCCCCCTCAGAGGATGAAAAAATCACAAAATGTATAACAAATAATTGCAACACATACTAACATGACATGACTAAAGTAGACATTTGTTAGCCGTCTCAACATTAAACCAAATTTATTGTTTAGATTAATCGTCATAGTATGTCAACTGGCAGAATAGACAACAGACATAGTCGTAATTTAGACAGTAATTATTCAGACATTCCAAGATTATCCATCAGTAGGCTGACGTTAACATGTGTGCAAGGAGTACTTCCGGTGAAGAGGTAAAAAACGGACAAGTAAACCGCATGAGTGGAACAGGGATAGTAAGAACCGGGTCAGACCACACATCTAACACGACCATATTCGTTAGGGCGTCAACATATTTGCAATTCAACATAGCAGCTTTGTAATCACATGATTCTGACATAAAGCTTTCTCAGTGCCCTATTTCCATCAATACGCAGGTAAGCATGAACATATTGCATAAACATATTTTCAACATGACAGTCCTATTTCCATCACTA